GCGTTCTTGTCAGCACCTAGCTGGAGCAATGTGTCTACCACCTCCTTGTGGCCGTTCTTCGCTGCCAAATGCAAGCTGTAGAACCGTCATTTGCTGTCCTGGCATTCATGTCAGCACTACAACCTCCTTGTGGCCATTCTGCGCAGCCAAATGCAGTGCTGTCTTTCCAAGTCTTGTTGCAGCTTCCTTATCGGCACCCACCTTGAGCAACTTGTCCACCACATCCTGGTGTCCCGTCATAGCAGCCAAATGCAGTGCTGTAAACCAATCTTTTGCCACTGCATTCTTGTCAGCACCCACTTGGAGCAACGAATCTACGACCTCCTTGTGGCCGTTCTGCGCAGCCAAATGCAGTGCTGTGTAATGAAGTCTTGTTGCGGCTTCCTTCTCTGCACCCATCTGCAGCAACTCGTTTACCACATCCTGGTGCCCCATCATAGCAGCCAAATGCAAAGCACCTGCCTGGAGTAACTTACGTACTACAGCCTGGTCGCCCTTCTTGGCTGCCAGATGCAAAGCAGTATAATGCTCCGCAGCTGCAAGCAGTCCACGGACCCCTGCCGTCTTGATCGTCTTGATCAGAAGTCGGCTGGCCTTTTCGAAAGGCCTGACAGTGGCAGCTGCAATCCTCTTGGCGATCGGCTTCTTCAGCCAAGAAAGCCAACCAGTTTCTGGATAGCTGCGCTGCGAGTCCAGTTTCTGCTGTCTGCGAGGATGTGGCAAACTTCCTTCTTCATAGGATTCTAAACTGAGCCGAAGCCACTCAGTTTCGGGTGACACAAGTATTTCTTCCACTCGGTGGAGAGCAGACTGGTCATGATGATACGTTGCGCGTAAACTGGCAAGAGATCCTAAGAAAACCATTCTGACTAAACATGTTTTCCAGCGTCCTGCAATAACCACTGGAAGAGCACCGGAAGGCCTTTGGAGAAGTTCTTCCGATGGATCAGACCTGACCTCCGATGGATCCAAAATGGCCATGGCAGCCATCATCCCTCGCTGCTGAATGCGTCTGAGCACCGCATGAGCCTGCTGTTCAGACATGCCTTCCTGCATCAAAATGGTCACCAGTTCTGCTCTGACATTCCCGTCTCTGGTCACTTCGGTGTGGGCGTGGGATCCAAACATGGCATCTTCGCTTCTGATCTCCGTCGTCTCGAGGTGGGCGACCGTCGTGTCCCGCGAGACCATGGTATGCACGGTGTGTCTGCCGGCGTTGCTGTGCCTGAGATGATGGTCCTCGATGCAACGTGCTTGCTGGCGGATGTCGTGGAGCACATCGTTCCTTCTCTCACCTCAGAAAACAACAAAGTTATATACTGCATGTACTTTGAGTGACCCACCGCACTGAGAGTTGGTATGAAAAAAGGAAGGACATTCATACCACGTATACATATCTTCTCATATATAATACATATTGTATGCATTGACAAACTATCCCGGCAACGTTCTGACACATGGTCTGACAATAGAATCTGTTCCATGAATCTATGTTCAGGAATCAATGTCCGTCATGTTGACGTGTGTGCTGACATTTGTCCTGGTATATGCTCTGACATGTGTCCTGTCATTAATTTGTTCTGACATGTGTTCTGATACTTGTTCTGCACCATTTGCTCTGACATTTGTTCTGCACCGGACAGGTTCTCATCTGTTCTGCCATTTGGTCTGCCATTACGTCTGCCATGTGCTCTGGACGTATATGATGAGCATAGGATCAAGGTCCAGTGCGAAAGCACTACAGTAGGTCTTATTCTTGAAAGCCACAGCAAAGACTTCCAAACAACAAGGAACGGGAGCGTGTGTTGCATCATGACGCCAGCAAATGCACACTCAAACCAGGGTTGAACATCTATGCGTTGTTGACCAAATGCTTGTCCCTATTCTAAATAATTAGGTAGGACATTCAACCTTTGATGAACCACCAAACATGTTCCACGTTGTTGGGTTCCTGACTACCACATAGGCCTCTTGAAAGCTATCTGTTCCATGTCTCTGTATTGCACGAATCTCTTTGTATCTCCTTCCACCAAAGCATTGGTTCACAAACAAACTTGGTAGCTTTCCCCTTTCATTGTACTGCTCTTAAGTATATCGCACTATACAATGACCGTCGACTAACGAGTTGCAATTCTTGTGGGTGAATCACATGACAGTGCAAAATGGGTGAATCAAACATTCTTTTGGGGGATGACACAGTGAATCACTCAAAACCACTGGTCCAAAATGTCCAAAAACTCCAGGTGACTCAAGTTTGCCAGTGCTCTTCTCAAATTGAAATGGGCTGCTTGCAGGGTCACTTCATCCGATGCATAAGCATGGACTGTAGACCTCCACGGCTGATTCCTCAGGAGTGGCTTTACCCAGAGCAAAATATTCCGAGCAAATGCTTCTTGTTGCTCTTCGATGGTCATGTCTTCATTCTCTTCCTCTGACACTGGATCATCAGCAAAAAGCCATGCATGTCTTTCCACAAAGGCTTTCAAATATTGTACCTGTACTGTCCACCATCTTGTGTCCACACGCTCTTTGGCATATTGGCTGGCCACCCTCAGGGCTGAGGTAATGTGCAAGTTGGCCGGTGCCGAATCAATGGCGTCTTTCACCATGTCTTTCCAACATAGAGCTTCACGCCATCGAACTTTGACGCTTTCTTTGGCGTCTTGGCTTGTTACCCTCAAGGGTGCTAGGCATTGCAGATCGCGAGGAACGAAGGCAAACACCTTTGGCAACAAATCGGCCCGGAACGCCATGAGGCAGCCACTTGGAAGATGAATGGCGAACAATGGAAGGGGCAGGAAGAAACACTTTGAGATGCTTTATCATCATTTTCCAGGTGGTTTGATACAGCCCATGTGAGCAATTATTAGGTGAGGCCTTATTATACATTCTTATGCTTTGAGCTAGATATACAGTACTGTTGGAAATGGATCGTAAAGATAGTCTTTTAGGACTCTGTGATGGAATCTTCCTCGATAGTCTATAGTCATTGAATGTCGTCACTTTTACCCCTGCACAGGACACAATTGAGCCTTTCAAACGTCAAAGGTGCACTTTTTCGCGCGTCAGACTAACTCCAGCCAGACAGACGGAGGAGAGTCTATGGTCGCCAGCGCGTCTCCTTACAAGCCCAGCTTGTTCGCCAACTTGGCCCTGTCCAACGGAAAGGTGTCTTGCGGAAAGTTTGGACTAGTGGCTGGAACTTGAACACAACAGGATCGAACATATTGTGGAGAATAAGTTCGCAATTGTCAGATTCTCCACCAACCCAACTAACGAAACACCTGTTCATTGGATATTCATAGGCCAATAAAACGTGACTTACTTGGCCAGGAAATTGTGGTGAAATCAGCTTCCAAGGTTCCACCAAGGCATTTTGGACCATTCTTACCACCGTTTTTCACCCACCCGCATGCACGACACCGACCCGTTCGACGTGACGGTCGCGGGTGACGCTGGGTCTTCCGGACAGGGCTTTGCGGAAGTCCGTGGCCTCGTCCGGATCCAAGGTCGAACCTCATGAGGTCGAAAGGTGGCGGTTCGACCGGTGATCTACCTGAGACGGAGAGACCTCCAAGCAGGGCGGCATTCGTAGCGGTTTTTTCTAACGGAGCACCACCATGCACCACCCAAAGAGTGGGCTGAAAAAGACCCCCCCCGGACTCCCTGACCATGTGCTTTCGATTCAATAACCATGCTTTGGGTGGTGCGTTCGTACATGTTGGTTTCTAGTGGAGATTTGATATTATACGATATTATACATTTAGATGTTCAGCTAATAGGCCAGAAGTTTCCTTCTGATTCCAGGTGTTCTCTGTAGCTCAGCTAGCAGGTCCTCTTTCAGAGAACCCCAAACTTGTTTGGTGGGAATGCTCTTCAACCCCAATACTGTCCACAAACAAATTTTATGATTTGAATGGATATAATAGGTAAACGCTAAAGAAACAGGGTCTATTTTGTCACCTCTTAGGAGCAATTCTGCAGCTGTGGCAGCTAGAGTTCAGGACCCAACATCCACACAAAGCCGCACAGAAGAAACAAAGACGTCCCTTCCAGAGAGACAATTTTTTTTTGGTGGAGATGTTTCCTCCTGAAAAACCGATTACAATAAATAGCAGTTTTGGAGTTTTGGGATGATATCCAGGAACTTGGATGGTGAACATCTGAAACACCGAATGACTTCTTTGCCATCTGACTTTCACCTCTGGTAGCTAAACCAATTCTGAGGAATTCACATCCACACACAAACGCGTTCCGCAAAGCCGGCAGCTGCCCCCTGCCACCAGTCCTGTAGGGCTCCACACGTGAGGAGACGTACAGAAGTCCCTCCAGGGTGCTCTTCGCAAAGGACTCCGACACCTGCGGAGTGACCGGCCAAGGACACTTCGGTTGCGCAGTCTCCGGCCTTTTGGGGTGGGGGGGCATCTGATTTTGAGGATCTGGGTCCCAGGTGTTTAAAACTTTGTACCCAAAATGGCAGTTTTTGTTAGACATGTTCTGCGAACAACATCAAACCACTGCAAAATCTGTCAACAGATTCAAGGTGCTACTCAAATGATTGTCCAGCCGAATTCATTGACCACCCGAACCCCTGCGAGCAGCCAGGCACCCACATGCATCCACTGGCATTGTTTGTTTTTCTTGTTCTGGTTTGTGGCCCTGCCTTTCCATCCGAGAAGATGGCCCAGCCTTAATACCAAATCCCATTATATCTTATGACCACCTAGCGTAAGTCATCACAAACTACCACTTCACGTGTACAACCAGGTTCACATGCTGGTCCTGGTTGCTCACGGTCTCTCACATCCATTGATACATGTTGATACCATGTTACATGGTCACTCTACACTCCCAAACCTTTCACGATCCACAGCGAAACATCGTGAAAAGGTAAATCTCCTACTAAGCCCCTGAACTATAGAGCTTTGAGGTGGTTCTTGAGCCCCTGAAAAGGCAATACGGCGCGGATCTGTCGCGCTCAATAGCTTTTATTTCCGGGCTCATGCCTCATCCAGCTCATAGAGGGAGGAACCAAAGTTCTCCAGCCTCGGAGAGGAAACTGGGACGAGTTGGTTGGCCAAATGGGATGGGTCGGAGTTAGCTACATGGGATGGGTGAGTTGGATATGGTAACCCATGGTAACCCCTGGATGCTCTGGGATTGGCTATAAAAAACGAGTTCCAGGTGGGTTGGAGTGCCAGACTGGAGGGGTGCCAATGGAGAAGATCCACTGGATGGAGCTCAATTCCATCCCGACATACCGTACCTCTCTTTGGCGTGGGAAAAAAACACTCACCGGAACCGCAATTTCCCTGGGATCTTTCTATCGCACACCTCATGGTATCCCATATGTTCACACTACGATGGACGGAGTTTCTTGCACTCTCACTGTTCTTCGTGGCCTGTTGACGAGTGGTCTGTTCACCTCTAAAGCACTTCACTGACAGCTGTGGCCCTTGCTGACAACAGCCCCCCTGCAAAACAAGACAGGGCCAACAGAGGGGCACAGTACAGCTCACAGGGCTTGGAGCTCGCTAAATCGAAAAATGTGTGCCTGTCCGATCTCGGTAGGAACAATGGGTACAGAAAGGATATGGCATTCTTCGCCTATCTTTTTGGAGTCTTACAGGGCTCCAGTCGTACCTCCGAAACGAAGGTATGACTGGACCCTCCGGTCGCACCCACCCCAGTCCCACCGAAACGAAACGAAGGTACGACTGGAGCCCTATAGTGGATTAGGAAGGATGAGAGCAACTAATCTGTTCGATCATCACTGCTGAGCACCCCAGCCACTTCTGCACCAGCTCGCGACCTAAAGAAAAAAAAGGCATGAAAGGTTCAGCCGCCACAACAAGTACCCATAGGGTCCAGGCACCTCCTGAGGATGGTCTTGGAGGTGAGTTCGTACTTGTAGAGAAAGGTCTTTGGAGCCAAAGGACATCCAAGTCGGATGGTCCTGGACCCTTAGGGGTGTACTCAAATTGGGTCTGGTTCAAAACAGAAAACATCCTCCCCTCCCTTTGGACCTCCAAACGGGAGATGAAACATCCTGGAGTCCCTGGAGCCTCCCTCCTCAAGGTCATTCAAAGCCAACCTTACAGCTTGAATTGTCCAACTGTTCTGGGGGGGAGCAGTGGAATCACAGTGGACGCCGTCTCAACTCCTGTAAAGTAGGTGCGTTTTTTTGTTCGTTCGCACCATGGGTGTCAATCGAGTCCTTTGAATAGCTGCATAGCTAGCTTGGGGACGGATCCTGTTCCCTGGGCCCAGTGGGATGACAATTGTTTACCGACTGTTACAGGTAAGTCAGCACACCCCCAAGCGCACTTAGGCGCACTTCATGGCTACGATCAGCGTCCCAGTTCCGATGTGTTAAGGGACCTGTGCAGCACAAAGGCTGGGTTTCGGGTCTGCTAGTCGCCTGACATGTGTTGGATCAAATACGGGCGTGTCTCTACTAGGGAGAAAGCCAACCATTGGGTAGACTGGTCTATTTCCCGAACCGAATCCAGGAAGTCAATTTGTTTATGGGAGGTCTCCCTATTTTGAATACCCACCCATATTATGTGTCTTTGTCTGCCTGTGAGTGATGGCCTCAGCAACCTGGGTAAAGTATCCTATAGGTGAACCACCTATAAGGCACATGCCTCAGCTCACACGTTGGACCGCCGGAGGGCGCGCCAGCCGCGCCGTGGGCGCCGCCAACCCTCCTGGGCGTCCCGGACGGGCGGCCACGGAGGAGCGCGCCAGGCCCAGGAAGGCCATGATGTTGGGCAACTCGATGATCCCCTCGGCCCGAGCTGATGTCATAAGGGATAGCAGCCACGAACCCATGGTAAAACCAACAATCAACCCCAGCTTAAGGTCCAAGAACCTGATGTTTTGGAGTTCTGGCAAAGAAAAGCGACATGCACACCAAATCCTTGATTTTGACTGATGGCTGAAGTCGCTGCATAGTGGTGTCTCTTGGTTTGTCTCTCCCTGATCTTCACATCTCCCTGATCTTTGGCGGGTCGATGGGTCCTCCAGAACTGGTGACAACACACAGACTTCAGGGTCATGTTCCCTACGAACCTTCGTGTTGTCAGAGTTGTAAAGGACTTCATATAAACCATAAGCACTCATGAATTATGCATTCTTAATGCATTTCGTATGCACTTCCTATGCAACCTTCGTGTTGTCACAATATAAAGGTCTTGTCGTTGTCATCGTTTTTCCACCGACGGCCTTCAACAGCCTCCCCTGGTAAATCACTCTGAGTGGTCTCCATCTGCTGGGCTTGAAGCTTCCATTGCTTCATCATCATCATCATCATCATATTCACACTTTGCTTCAAAAGCCTCCCCCCTACCCCGTTGCAACCCGTCCAGATCTCGTGGGCACTCTGAGACCCCCCCGACGCCCAGCACCTTCACACGTCGTCGTGGGAGCAGAGGTTCACATCGATGAGACGGGTGAGACTCACTCGTTAGCACCCAAAAGGAGAGCCAAGTCCAGTTAGTACGAGTTTTGGTGACCGATGTACATGAGGTCACCGAAGTACACCATGTTTTTGGAGAGTCATTGACTAGCAGGGAAGTGGTATTTTGATAGAATACATCCGGTTGGTTGATGCTTCACATCCAAAGGGTACCACCGTGTGTCACACCAGGAGACCTTCGCGCCTCGGGTGGACTGGTCGTGCGAGCATGGTGTTTGATCCATTCCCATGTTGATCATATCCGCCCACACCGCTTCCGGTATAAGTGGTATAGTGTAGCCCAAGTGAGGAGCTACGTATACCAAGACTTGAAAGGTTTTATCTCACCGTCCTGGGTGAAACAACGAAGGACTACAACGATCCTTTGTGGTTTGTCCTTCTGAAAACAAGTGAACATGACATGTCACATCATATCCTATATTGTGGGCATAATGTTCTTCTTCCCTCATAGGGCCTAAGGGTCTTCTTTGAAAAACAATCACTTGCACCAATTTTAAATTCTTTCCTCGTGAAGACTTACAAGCGCTTGCTCTTGCTCCACCAACTGGCATGGTCCCAGAAAATGATCCGCCATGGTCAAATGTCCGGCATCCCGGCTTTACCCGACCTTCTGTTGAAAGAGTTGAATCTGGGCCAACTTCAACAACTTACTTAGACATTGGGTCCAGTCTAAACCATTGCCAACAGCGGATGGTGATGGTTGGTAATGGCCTTTCTCAAAAGTTGGAATTGATACTTCATCAACTGTAACAGGTAATAGGACAAACCCAACTTACACGCTGATAGTGGTTTCAAAGGTTGTAAGGGTGTAGGGGTCCGCGTTTGAAGCTTGGTCTTGGACGTCAACATCAAGCATGACACTTCCAGAACAACTATGGCATCGTCAGAGCCAACCTGTTCCTGGAGTAGATAGAATAGGGTGGAATATGGAACATAGAACGTTAACAAAAAGTACAAAACAAGCGACCACCTCTTTGAAGTGTTCTATGTCCGGTCTGTTCCACCTTACGGATTGATTCAACACTGTTGTTCGGTTGCTGCTATGGTGCGGAAATTTCCACAACGAACCAGTTTGCAAACTGCTTTCTTCGAGTTCTATGAAGATGCAACCTGCTTCAGCGCAGGCGAGCGCAGGATTGGGGCTTCCTGTAGAACAAGTGAAGTGTAGTTCCATGATGGTTCCAAAAGGTCCAACACCACGATGATGTACCTGCACCAAGTACTGTAAGGTAGTCTATTGGAGACCCCGGTAAGGAAGGTGCTGGTATGAGGACCTTTTTGATTTCGCATTCTCTCCGGAACCCCCCAAAACACAATGGTTGATTCGAGAGAGGGGTGCGAAAATGATTCCAACAGGGGTGGATTGAAAGGAGGGGTGAGACTCTTCCGGCCCCATGTATGAAAAGGTGATTGAAAGCCGAATGTCAGGGGTTGTGGGAAAAAATACGGTGAAACAAACTGTTTGAAACTCAAATTCAAGCACACTCAGTCAAATTATAACTTTCATCATTTCATCCAATGTCATCAACAACTGGCCGCAAATGTGGCATGAGTTGAGCTAATTTCCTCAACCAAAATGGTTGCGAGTTTTTCTACCTTGAAATGCAAAAAAAAACTTCCCAGAATACGTTCAACATCTTGTGGCAGATTTCAGCGTTGACATGTCTTGACCATGCGACTTCACACTCCACCGACCCCAAGAACGCCCCACAGACTCGCACCGCGCCGCGGCGGTATCCGTCGCCTCGACAGTTCGCTGATCACTCAAAGCCTGGGCGGCAGAGGTATCAGGTGACAAGCACCGCAGCCAGAATCCAGACAGGACCGCCATCTGGGACTGACCTATTTACTTACATTCGGGGTGGTTGACCTGGTGGTTACGATGTGAAAGGCACCCACAAGCCATGCACGGAATGTGTGGGATGTAGACTTGAATGGACCCGGATCACTTTACAAAGTGGGGTAGGTATGTAAGCCATTTTCGCAATTGTGCACCATTCATTCCTGGACCATCTAGTCTGGGTGTCCTGCGTTCTGGGTAGACCCAGAACAGGAGGGACCCAAACACAACAGGATGGTCTTGCTGGAGTCACATGGACCTGAAATGACCTGATCCCTTTTCAGATCGTTCTTTTAGTAAAGGTCAGAAGCACCTCTCGGGATTTTGCACCTTTTATTTCACAACAAAAAACGACACTGCCTAAAACTGCACAGGACATCGGCGTTACGCCCAGCGACCTTGTCTAACAGTGCCTGCGAAAAAACAATCTCTTGTTGACAATCCCGTTTTTTTGGCTATATCTGGCTACTGTAGAGACTTGCCATCTACAACAGTGAAACCCTGCCACCACTGCGCATGTTCCAAAAAAATCCTGTTCCAAATCAAGTGGAATTCCTTTGGTGAGTTTGCTTAAAAAAAACGCAACAACCAAAACATACTGGATCCAAAAATTTGAGGCACCTCCCAACCACCCTCTTTAAAACAACAACTACATATTTTCACGAACATGGTTTCTTCCGAACCTGTCCAGCCCTTCCAATTTCTTTGGTGGCCCACATCACGTTTGGACTCATGCACCGACCAAAACTGGCCGGTCGCAAAAACACCGGCCACAGGTTGGAAACACACCATCCCCAGAGGCATAGCAGCAAATGAGAAGTTTAATCCTGGGAACCGGGGATGGCACAAAATTGAAGAAAGCGGCAAAGATGTCATGCTCAACAGAGGTGCTCACATGGTCAACATATGTCAACATCATTGGCTTCCATCAGGATGAGAAAGACCGATTGCAAAACACAGTAGTTCGCGGTGGCAGCAGCTTGACTGAGGGCTGCGGTAACGGCGGCGGTGTATGAGAGAGTGGTGGTCCGTGCAAAAGGGCGTGAAGGCCTGGTGTAGTGCCGCTTCTGAGAGGGGCGTTCCCTTTCCAGCTGCTCCAAACGATCTTGTTTGGTTTGTGTCGCGTGAGGAGGCATGTGATCCTGGCGTTTTCCGCGTCGGCTCGCCGGTTCATGGTGGTAACCGCCACCATCGCGACCACAACTACAAACACAACGACAGCCACCACCACCACCACCACTACTACTGCTGCTACTACTGCAACCCGTTCCATGTCCAACTAGCACTGTTCCACCACCAACATCAACAAGAACAAAAACAGTGAACAGTTCTGCTTTTGCTATACAACTTCATGTTTGACTGTCGCTTGACTTTGACGTGTCAACCCTCGCAAAAAGACACCAGACAACCGACGAAAAAAAACATATTTCACTTCGCGTGGTCCCCACCATGACTTCAATCTGACAAGTTTTCTGGCATGCGTTGAAGCATTGTTCTAGCATTCTTTCTGGCATATCTTCTGACACTCTATCTGGCATATCTCTGCATATTCCGACATTCTTTCTGAAATTCATTCTGGCGTTCTATCTGCAATATCTTCTGGCTCGCGGCTGAGGTCCGGCCAACTCCCGACGGCAGTGTTTCCCGCTGGACCTCACCGCCAGCTCCCGACGGCAGCGTTCCCCACCGGACCTCAACCGCCAGCTCCCGACGGCAGTGTTCCCCGCCGAACCTCCGGATGGCAGTGTTCTCGCATGAGCAACCGCTGAAAGTGCAAGAGGCTCGAGTAGGAAGAGCGGCATGCCCAAGTATACAACAACAAGAAACAGACCAGAGGAAGTACACATATCAAAGCATGCGTAAAAAGCAGAGCGCACACACATGAGAGGCATGCATACATAAGAACACATATGTAAGAGCAGCCGCATGAGAGCACATATAAAAGAGATTCTAAGAGCACGCACATGAGAGCACACATATATGAGAGCATGCATATGCAAGCGCACAACACATGAGACTTAAGAGAATTTCTATATATAAACCACACGGAGCATGACAGCACGCATAGGAAAGCACACATATGAGAGCACAAAGCCCAGAGGTCATGATTCACTGCACCCGCCACGAATTTAGAGTGTGCCGAAGACCGCCGCCATGGCCAAAGCGCTGCGCCTGTGTTTCTTCATGGACTCCTTGATCACCTGCCGCTTGAAGAGCCCTTTATAAGGGCAAGACTGGTCCCTGAGCCGTTCTTGGAGGGCCGGTGCCAAGCTGAGGAAAGTGAATGTTCTTCCCGCTCTTCTTTGATCTCGTGCGGCGGGCGCTCCTTGCCAAAGTCCTTGATGCGCCTCCTCAAGTCTTCTGTGATAACACCCTGCTTCTTCTACAACCTGACCAGGTCCTTGAGCTTCCGATACTGAAGCGAAACCTTGCTTCGAAGTCGGAATCCGGACTGTGGTTCTGGGTGCTTCTTGACTTGGCCCCAAATCTGTTTCTTCACCTGCTTCCTCCAAGGTGCTTTGGGGTCGACTTTGGCTGGGGGGGTATATTTGGCGTGAATGCCACGAACTTCCCAACCTGTTTTGATACCCTCTGGGGATGTGATGAAGTCGGCGATAACTCGGCCAGATGACGGCTGTGCGGCTGGATCAGCCGCTTCAGCCCCTGGCTCAACTGTTGGATCTTGTTCAGGCTCTTCTTCTTCTCCTGGGCCTTCTGTCCCTTTTGTGTTTTCCTCTTCTTCTTTTGTTTCTGCGGTCACTTGGCCGACGCTGTAATGCAAGGGTTCAGCTTCCTGCTCGAAGAGAGAGTCCAGGTTCACGTCGATCGTCCATCGTCCGTTCCTTTTTTGTGCTCGAAGCTGTAGGACCTCAAATTTAATGTCGGCTTTTTGAAGCAGGGCTGCGTACACATCTAGCAAAGGATGCTCCCAGTCCAAAAGCCAGGGTGGCGGACAGCAGGATGGAGGCTTGGGAGGAAATCTGAAGTAAAAACGCTTTGGCATCAGGCACCTGCCACGAAAAGTTCACCTATAGGACCACAAAAACATGAGTTTTTTTTTTTTTTGTGGGCTGGCACGAAAAGAGATTCTGCGAGCCTGCACAGTCGAAATGCACTTCGAAGATCTCAAGGTGAATGAATGCACTGTAAATAGCAGCGAATTCGCCGCGCACGTCGATGAGCACCTCCGGTCAAGCACCCGTCCTTAACAATTCCCGTAAGAACCCCTAGCATGGCCACACTGTTTGAAATCATCAAGATCACACCTGCAGATCTGATCCCTGAGATCAATCCCCCCCAAACACATCACCAAACACCCCTTTTTCCACGGTATCGTCCAACCGTCCTCGTCCACGCGCTCGTCCCGTCCGTGGGGTTCCGGACCACGAAGAGCTCCGAGAGGGAGATGACCTTGGGGAACGAGGCGTGCAGCCCGGCAAAGCCCGGTGTGACCACGAATGACGACCACATGACCGTTGACCTGTTTTTTTTTGAGATCACCAAATCAAGGAAACATGTGTTGATCTGTTTGTTGCTGATCCAATTGTCATAAAGACAAGTGCTATTAGTGCGTCAAAGGTACCATGTGTGCACTCAAGTTTTAGGATGTGTTTTCCAATCTATGAGAGGACGGACTACTTGTTTAGATCAATGTCTGCAAACTCTGGAGAACAACCAAAAGCCACTCTGCATGCAGTGACCACATGTCGAACCACTTAGTCCAAGCTGATCCGGGTTGAAACTCAAGAGAGTCCTATGCTTGCCTGTCCTCTGAAGGGGAGGAATTCAAAGGCACCTCCTCTTGGAACCAAGCCCAGGTGTGAAATGTGTTGTATGAGAAATATCAGGGCAAACCACATGGCATGGACGGATGTGAAAATGAAGCTCAGACAAGGATTCAGTTGAGAGGAATGTCTATCATCAACAGGTGATCATATATCGGTTCCTCTGATGCCGTCACCGAAGAATGATGCCGTCAGAATGACTCCCCTTTCGACGCCTTCAGATGATCTCGTCCGAGACGTCCCAGTATCTTCCTCCATGACCCATGTGACTTATAGCCTTGAGGAACCTGGGAAAGGTTGCCAGTCACGCCTAATGACTAGTGAGCCAGGAACTCTACAGGACTCTATGCCAGTGCCTCGATGCCTCCATGCGCGGAACATTGAGGCGCCATCGACGTGGCGCCCAAAAACGCCGGAGCAACCGCTGAGTCTCCCGGGCTGTCAAGGACCCAGAGGCCGGATTTCCGATGGCCGCGAGCACCTGGATTCGGGCGCTGGACGTGTCTGAGACAAACAAGGCCTGATTAGGGCCTAGGACTGCTTGTAAGGGTGGGTGCTCTGATGTATGAGACAGGATACATCATCCATGATGTCAAGGAACCTTTGGGGCTTGGTTCACACACAATTCTGTGTTGATTTGTAACATTGCTATTTATGATGGTTTCTTCCTTGTCAGGACTATGTGCTTCACCATAGAAGATGTTGGAGGGTGCTGCAGTGATCTGGATCACCTGTGCAGCACCTTTGCCATACCTCTCTAGATCCAACCTCCGGTTCCATAGAGTTTACCACGTCCTAACGACCGTCCTGACTGGTGAAATGGACCTCGAGATCCCCTGACCACTCCGACGAACACATGGTTACACGACGGGATCTCGTGGCATGGCTCGTTCGATGACGAGTCTTTCTCCTCTACAAACAGGTGGCTTTCCACTTCCATGTGATGTGTGAGTCAGAGGGTAAGTGAAACGTTCGGGTCGCCCACGTGTTCTTGAGTATAGGAAGCAATCCCAACAGCTCCAAGATCAGGTGAAAGGAAGGAGATGGAATTCTTGCGGGAACTGGGTTATTTAGGATGCTTTAGGGTATGAAGATGTATGAAGCACATGGTAATGCATCCACTGACAGAGGTCACATACAAGTGAGCTTCGCTGCGCCGCCATCTTGGCCTTCTGGGAGTTCCATGGGTTCCCTCTTGCTTCGGTGCGATGAAGGTGGTTCAGTGGTTTAGCGGTTTGACCCACTAAGATTCAAAAGAGCCTCTAGAATTCACCCACAATAAGAATGAAAAACACATAAAATGATACTTGCTGAATAAGATAGACTTACTACCTGGTCTTCCATAGGGCCTCTGGAATCCACCAACCCCGCCACTTCAGCTCCTTGAGCACGCTCGGTCGGAGCAGTCGATCAACGGCCGGGTGGGTCCGTTCTTTCTCAGGGTCCACCGTTGTTCATCCCGATGAAGTCAGGTTCCACCGTTGTTCACCACCGAACCACCCGTGCTTCAGCTGGTGGAACTGACGATAGGTCGGTGAACGGACGATCGTTGCATCCCGCACCGTCTCCAAGATATCCAGCATGTGAACGTGCACACCCTTGGCAACGCGGCACTCCGAATGCATTGGATAGCCCACGTGCTTGGCAAGGGCCGGGACACCTCGAGAATTCACTACTTCGCATGACAGGCCGATGAAATTTTCTGGAGAGCAAACTGGGTCAGATGTTTGTTTGTGCGTGTTTTCTCTTATGTTGATTTCTGTTTTTTTCTTTTTTTTTCTGAAGGGTGGTCGTCCCTCCAAAAGGGTTGATGGCCATTTGATGTCATTTGGAACGGCCCAATCTACCGGTCTACTGATGGGCATCTGGGATCCTTCATTACTGTGAGAAGTGTGGATCCACTGTGCTGGAACTTCAAGTGTTGGAGATTCGTCTGTTGATGAGCCTATAGGTGCTAGAGAAAGGGACATTCTCAGCCAAATGATGCCATGCAACTGGAGTGGTAATCAGTGGTCACTCAGTCTCGCCCCTACAACAAGGACCGGAAGAACAATGGCCCAAGACCTCTGACTTTTTCCACTCTCAACAGCCAGGTCCAAAAAATTGTCCAATAGCGGTTCAAAAAAATGTGGTCCCTTTTGGGAGGACGAATTGGTTCACCACCTCGCTTTTGTCAAAGAGTAGACACGTGTGTCCAGAAAAACATCGAAAGGATCATCAAAAGGCCCACACAGTGGTGGATGCTCTTCCCTAAAACCCGAGCCTTTACCCTTTTGTGGAACTCATCGTGGCTTCCTTTTTGTGGAACTCATCGTTGGAGGATTCTCTTTGACTTCGACTCTCAGGTGGCGTGCAAAAAGGCGACCAAAGCAAGGCAAGAAAGGGCGAATAAACAAGAAAAGGGCTCTAATGGGTACGCCTCACTGGTCACTGATCACTGATAACTTGCTCATGGTATAGATGATCATATTATGATGATTGTATATGATTGTTGTCAAATCATCCAATCCAGGCAGTCAAATGCAACACTTCTTCCACTGAAAGATTCAGTTGGGATTTCACTAGCTGTCTGAACCCCCAAAGGGTAGGGCTATCTTTCGATTGGACACACGCGAGACTGAGGAACTCGGATTTTCACAAGCCCCTCATACATAATATCACAACAACTGCAATCCTCACCATCCCCTAGGCCCTAGGGGCCTTACTTATATCCTGTGTAACTCAGTATCTTCACATCTGTCAACTGCCACCTCTCATCACAGCACGCCGCTCGTGGCCACGTTCCGCCCTCCGGGAGGCCCGACGTAGCAAGACTTGGAGAGGGCAATCATCATGCGGGAGGTGCTGGCGGCCAAGTCCTGAACACGCCGGCTGTTCGAGTCCCTCAGAGGGCTGTTCGAAGAAGAAGTGGCTGCCAAGTCAACGATCTTGCGGGAAGTGCCGAGTCTAACCGATCATGATCTTCTGAGTGCCGAGTCTGACCGATTAATGATTCATCCAAATAGTATAGATGCTAGATCTTCCAAAGCAGTATACAGTATACACACTTGTTTTTTTTGGCTTTACCGCTTATCAGCTCCCACAGTTCCAAGTGGAGATGAAAAGCAACTACAGATGGTCGTAGGGGATCCAGTGATAGAAGGGACTCATAACACCCCCACTTTTGCCCACTGCAACCGTGTGTGTTGCCACTGAGGCTGATCAGGGACCTTAGTATGGACCTCCAGTGCATGGCAAAATCATGGATCAGCCACCGAGAAAAACAACCAAATACTTATTCACCAGGGGTGGGTGCCAGGGGGGGTCTAACCACCTCCTGAGGATATGGTTGGAGCCCTAGGGATTATAGGCCACTTTGATATTGAAAGTTGCAGCTTCCTCTTGTTGGATCAATATAGAGAAGTGGATTGAGAGTGACTACCCCTCCAAGGCCAACAATTAGGCCAACAATCTGTGTGAACCAACGACCACGTTCAGGCATTGCTTGTCCAAATAGCCCCCCTGCCCGGGATGTCATGGAAAGGAAATCAAGTCTTGGTGAATTTGAGACTCTTGAGAAACATCCAATGTTTTGTTTCAAGAATCTAGCTGACACCCCTTATACAAAATAAGGAACATGTTCCTATCATCTATCTTGAATCCCACATCTACCCACGCCGATCATCTCCGATCCCTGAACAAACACTGGGTTTTCTTTCATTGCCAAGTGCACCAACTCCACATCAAAAGACCGGCACAACCTAATACTGACTGGTGCGACTCGTAGTAGAGAATGAGGGAAGAAGAATGAGCCGTTTCGCCCCCAATAGAGAGTCTATATTGGATCCAGCCACCATCCAGCCACCCTCATTCCCTATATACTAAGGTCGCACCAGTCAGTATAGAAACACTGAAAAACCACACATCGGACCATCCGGCCACTTAACGTCACCTGGTTGGACTGGCCCCCTCACCTGACCGGACAGGACCCCGACCACCACAACAGGAAGCATCACTCTTCCCATCCGAACAAGGCGTCTTAAGGGCTATAACTATATCACACTTTCCACCAAATCTTGGCACGCACCCGAACCGCCAACAATTCATACACTCCTATAGCAAAACGCCATCTATCCGAATTCATGGTCCCTTCCCTTCCCATCCACTTCCTCGTCCCTTTACCTCTCAACCACCCTCCACCCCTCGACCGCCTTCCACCCGTCGCCCGTGGAGTCGCCCCGGCCCGTCGAGCCGCCCCGTCGAGCCGCTGGGCGTGCCCGACGTCCAGCGGACCGGTCAAAATCCTCCGGAAGGCCTGGAGACCTGAGACGACGAGCGAGTCGCTCGCGCGAGCGCGAGACCGCGAGCGGCAGATGGGCACGGCACCGGGAGGGGTGAAGGCCAAGGAGCCGATCAGGTCGAGGTCTTAGAGATCGGAGCGTGAGGTCAGGTCTCACAAGATCGAAGCGTCGAAGGGTCTGTTGGTTTTCTCATGTCGAAAAAGGGCGGTCTTTTTTTTTAATGGTGTCTTCTTCTGTGGTGAGTCTGGTGAGTGTAACACCCCATTCATGTTTGATCGTCGCATGAAGTGAAGTGAGTGAAGTGAAGCGCGCGAGATTGGTGCGTTTCCAGAATAATTAAGCACTGTGAAAGAGAACACAACTAAATGACATCTATAAATGACACAAGGCAGCTCAAGAAACTCTCCGGTCCATGACATGTGCTTGGTTATGTGAAGTTACATGTACTCACTCTGCGAGCCGAACATTGAAAAAATCCAAGTACTTGTTGGATTGAATCCACTGCTCAAAGTTTCCCCCCAGGGTTCACCCGCGGCCGAAGGACAGTAGGAGGACACCAAGAGGACTTACAAGAGGAAGGACAAACATCGACACCTGTTCGGGGGTCCCTAGTAATTAGTACGTCCCCTAAGGATCCAAGTACCCTCTGAGAAGGTGTTTGGGGTGGGTTTGGAGGGTCCAAGTACCTTTTGAGGAGGTACGACTGGATCCCTAGGGGTCATGATCACTGTAAACACGGTTTTCACCGACGCCATTCTCTTCTCCGCGGACGGGGTCAAGTCCCCGCCGCACAGGACCCAGCGTCGACCCAACTAGCCACGGGGCAATTGGCTTTCAAGAACGCGGCGCCCGCCAAGTAGGACCTCGTCGGGCTCAAGCGGGGCGGACGATGATCTCTCAGACTATCTTAAGATATCTTAAGATCTTAATATCACATCCTAATACAATCTATTGCCAAACGAGTGGTATGAGGTCCCCTATACCGGTTGTTGATACTTTTACATCTAAGTGTGGCCACACACCCACACAAACATATGGCTGTGCGTCATATAGCACCAGACCGACCGGTTGACCTACCTGGTGGACGACCGTCGAACTCACGGCAATCGGTGGACTGGTCGGGCTGGATCGAAGTGTCCACAGATCCAGTGGCGGAGAATCAAACCCTAGGTAGGACCTCAGGTAGGACCCACTGGAGGAGAATAATCCCTAGGGTACCAGTACAGTGGTCCTACCGATCCCTAAAAGTCCTCAGTTTGTCCCATGAACCAGTGTCCACTGGAGGAGAATCCAGTTGTACCGTAGGACCCGGTAGGACCCTAGTCATCCATCGTTCACCGATCAGCACCCGATCCGCGTCGGCCTGGTCGACACGGTCGACGTGACTTCGAAGTTCTGGGCTCCACGACACGAAACCGAAGCCCGCAGGAGTTGGTCATGAGCCCCGGAGTTTCATATAGGTTCACAGTAGATGACACAAAGCAACATACATGTGGATCATGGATCCCTTTGAACATGGGATCTACGCTATGTGGATACCTTTGAGCATGGGATTTATGCCATGTAACTAAAAACATCTATTAAGATATCGTATCCGCAATGTGCTTTGCATCGTTTCGGGGAGCTTACCAAACATATCACCTTCCAAATCACAATCCCAAGTCGACTAGAGTATATACATATTACACCATATTACTATTTCATGTTTAAAATCCATCTTAAATGTCATGTGTTTTCCAAGACTCATCACAAAACATCCTCATCAGCCCCAAGTCAGGTCTGCTGCCCCCTTTCCCCCCACTCCCTTCTCAACTCCGTTTTTCCTCCGGTGAAGTTGCGAAGACGCGAAGAGTGCGCTGAGTGCCCTTCTGGGCGTCCCGGCTGAGTGCCCTTCTGCAGCATCTCGGAGAGATAGTCGCAGGCGCCCTTTCGTAGACCCACCGTGGGAGCCTGAAGTGGGCTACCCAAAAAAATATTGTTAAAAATATATCACCCGGAAGGTGTTTCTTTGAGAGTGGATGCCGCCCCAAGTTTAGTGATTTAGAGGAACCACTTAATACAAAAGACTTCTTGCAAACCATCTACTCTCAAACCACTGTAGTGTACTTGTTTTTACATGGTTTTAATTGTTGGTTTGTTTGTTTTGTGTTATAAACCTTTGGTCTTCCACTTCGTTGGCCTTCCAGAATGATTGATGACTCATCTGACAGAATTAGAACTTTGACATGCAGATCGGCTTGCCAGTGAACTGGAAAGCACTACAAACTGGCTACACATGTAAACAGAGTCGTGGTGGGTCTGGGTTCCTATATCTAGTAGGCAGTCACCTAGCGTTTGCCAATGATTACCAACACCCCTGACAACTTTGAGGGTAATTATATATTGGGGCAGCAACCACTCCTTTCTAGAGAGAACCTCACAAAGGGTTGTAATTATGAATGAATCAGTTCCTGATACACAAAGTTTGGCCACAGCTCACAGCTTCACAAGCTTGATGATGTGGCCCAGGATTCAGCGATTCAAACCCGTCTTTGTATGATCAAACACCCACCTCAATTTAAGACCCACTAAACACGTTGAAGAGGAACAAACTATGGTTGCTGCATACTTAGACAAGGTCAGCGCATAGCTGTTGCATCTGAACATGTGCACATGTCAATGTGGCATTGGACTTGTATCGAATCATCCGGTCTGTTTTTTTTGATGATGTTACCCAAAACATTGTTCAACCACCCAGCAAACACCTCAACAACTTTGCAGTGGATGTGTAAGGCCTCCAATTCAATCCAACACCACTGAGAACCACCACTGTCCACTGTCACTAGTCACTTCTGGGGCGCCGGGCACTACAAACCAAAGCCAGTAGGTAGAGCGTGAACCTGAGGACCATAAATTCACATCTCTGGATCGACCTGGCTCTGTTCACCCCCACCCAAAGGGAGTCCCCTGGCTCTGGAAACCACCCAACAAAATAGGCAAATGTCAAACAAAAGGCGACATGGCATACGTCATGTTCCTTCAGGAGTCCTAGGCAATTTGGTTGTTGGGTTGATGTTTGCAGTGAATGGTGTGTCCTACATATCCTGGCTTCACAGATTGATGACAAATTGTAACCTTCCAATGTCTGGGCTGGCTCCTCTGATCATCGTGGCCTGGAATGGTATGTGACCCATATTGGGTGTTTTTCCAAAGGACAATGGCAAATACATTGAAATGTCTACTAGTATGTGGGTGCTGAAGGCGCATTAAAGTGTTTGTCGCTGCACTTCCATTGCAATTTTGTCCCCGATTTCTGGATGTCGGGCTATGCGATGTTCAAAACGTCTTGCATCTTGCGCCTTGCGCTGAAGAAGCAACAGCTCTGCTGAAGTAACAATGAGGCGAGTCATAAACGATTTTCGTGGCCGGCAGTAAGCTCCTTGCGGTGTCCTTCAGAAGAAAAAAGAAAACGGGAGAAGATACGGAAACGAAAAGAAGGAGAGAAAGGTCGACTGGGTGCCAAAATGGCAAAGTCTCGTGCACTCAAAACCGGTACCAGTCGAAGCTGGTGATGATAAAGCCGGTGTCGGCGCAACCTGAATTTACAACCTAACAAGCCTGAATATATATATATATAGAGAGAGAGAGAAGAAAAGGGAAAAACAAAAGCAAAAGGAAGGATAAAGTCATGCAACATGAACAATTACATACTCAAAAGTGCAAATCATTGAAGCAGTCATGAAATTCAGAGAGTTCGTGACAGGTCAGGACCCAAGATCATCTAAGATCAATGCGTGGTGATGAACAGCAGTGAAATTATGTTAAGCAATCTCCTTGGGCCCGGCAGTATTGCGTCAGCGTTTTCAAACGACATCTGGTGATCAGAAAATAACTCACGGTGCTCACGAGTAAATCTGAAGTCAGCAGCTTTGAATTCGGCGCCCCGCAGGGATCACACAGCACACCCAAGTGGGAAGATGCTACTGAACACACTTAAATATAGAGCTCAACTGAATGAACATAAATGTCAGAAGCTGGATTAGGAGTGAATACTTAGCCCTTGACTCGAAGGAACGGTAAGAATGCTGGGTCTATCAAACTGAAAGTGTTGCAACAGCCGCCGCACTAGCACGTGGCTGAAGAGTCGAGTAAACAGCTTTGTCAACAGTTCAAAGAAAGCAGGTACACATCAGGAGGTCTCCCGATGCTTCCCATCTGGTTGCCTAGCTTTGTTAGGCCAGGTCAGCAGCAAAATGCCTAGTCATGGAGGGTACAATTCCAGTGCAGGGGGTCCTGCTCCTGATTTTATAGATATAAAATGGAGTGATGGACCCCCAGGAAGCCATAGAATGACTGAGACCTCTATAAAATCAAGCGTGTTGACCAATATTAAAAGTCTATATTTTGAGAAGACTTGACCCCCTGAAATCCTTATAAAATGAGCAGTTTTCTATAAAACAACGCGTGCTGACGCCCAGCAAGTTTTCTATAATCTGATGACATCAAATGACATTTGACGATAAAAAACGCATGCTATTTTTTCTCCACGTTTCTCTGGTGCGATCTGCTCTGGTCCCACATTGGTTGCCAAGCGCTTGACAGAAAATCCCCCTTCGCTCTCATTGCAACCACAAACACACAACATGTTAGACCAATTGAGATCAAACATTGAGACCAAAGGCGTTTGTAAACACTTTGATTAAAAAACACCAAAAAAACAACACTTTCATATAGATTCCTAAACATTTCTAAAATTCTAAACGCTTTCTAGCTGCAATGAGGCGACTCGACATGGCTCAACCATGTTGCTCAACTTTCACCTTGGAAAGCTGCATAAACTGTGGATGAGATAAGCCCACTGTGTTCTCACAGGCGGACGTCTCAAAAGCTGATTCTCGATCAGCTTGAGCTTGTCGTGCACAAGCTTTCCCCACACCTCGCGTTTCCGTGTTGGAAACTCGGCCGAGAAGAAATTGGCGGCTGCGTTCAACAGATCTGTCCTTGTGCTCTTGGAAGCGTTGGGATGCCTAGGATCGAATGAACAAAAATTAATTTCAAAAAATGGTAAACTGTAATTTTTTTGAGATCAAACTTGACAATAGATGTTGGGAATGATCAGATCTTGATTCATGAATCTCAAACATCGGATTTCATTGTCAATTTCTGAAACAAAATTTTAAATCAAAAAAATCAACGCACTCACCCCCCCCCAAAAAAAAACAAATATATACATTTTTCACATCAAAAAATCTCATAAATATGTTCAGATACTTTATCCGACAGATCTTGGTCTCGGCGTCGAACATCGGCTTGCTAGGAAAAGCCAGGACGTCCATCTCAAGCAGCCGGGACATTTGTTGCTGAATCATGCGGGTACCTTTGGATGATCTGGTGTAATTGGAGGCCTTGTTCTCGAGCGGCTGCAGATGGCCACCTTCTTTGCCACTGCAACGGATGACTTCTTCTCGATGGGCTTCGTCTTCCCAGCAGCTTTCCATCGAGCTGCTGTCCTGAAGCACCTTATCTGTTTCTTCCGGCGCTTAGGCTCTGCTTGGATCCCTCGAGAATGGAAGCCTGAACGCCAGTCTGCAGCCACCCGCTTTTGCGCTTCCTTCACTGCTACGACACTGTCCTTCGTCAGCTCCACGAAAAAGGCGTCGATGCACTCATGTGGCGCACGATGACCTAAAAAGAAAAGGTCAACAAACCAAACATCTTGAACTAATAGATAAGCACAACTACAAACAAACCAACTAATGTGTTTTTTTTACTAATGTGTCTATAAACTGGGGGGTGTGACGTGCAATTTAGCATTAGATAAATCGTTTTATAAGGAGGGTTGACCCCCCCTGATTTTGTACTGGCGAATTGTACCCTCCATGCCTAGTCCCCCTGCTTGAAACAATCTCTTAGGTGCAAAGGTTGACACACACACACACACACACACTTCGACAATTTGTATTCAGTGAACTCAGTTACCACGCTGGG